TTCTAGGAGCTGGAAACTCGTAGGATCAGATGAAAACAATCAAGGAGCCATCAACAAAAGGGTGATTGACTATCCATCAAATTAAAGTTCTTTAATCTTGAACAACAACTCCACCCCACTAAATGATGAAACACAAGCGATAAAGATTAAGTACTTTTATGTTTTTATGACTTTTGTGTATGGCAATAGTGCATTGCTTAAATATTTGTGGACACGATATATACTATTTATTTGTTGTAAACAATTTTGATATTTAAATATATTTTCATTTTGAATTTAAGTAGTGTGTACATTACTTTGTTGATGATGTAAGATGTATTGACAACAAGTAAATTATTGAAATTCAAAATTATTGAAATTCAAAATTAATTACTTCAATAAATCTAAACATTATATAAAAAAAAAAAATAACTCTAAATCTCAATTAATTCATTATGAATTTAATTTTTCGGTTCATTGAACTTTAAATTGTATTTTTCTTATTTGTACTCAAATTAATTTATATAATATTAAGGAAAAATTGTAATTTTTGTCCCTAAGTTCTAAGGTAATTGTAAAATTGGTCCCTTACGGTTGACCGTGCTTACTTTGCGGGCGTCCCTATGCTATCATTGGCGTTGCACTTTTCGTCCTTTTTATTAACTTTATGTGTTCATTTTTTGTCCCTAAGCTATTATAACGTTGTAAATTTCATGTCTAATGTTTCATTAGTAAATGGAGTAAAAGTGCAACGTCAATGATATCTTAGAGACAGAAGTAAGTACGACCAACAATTAGGGACTAATTCTACAATTATCCTATAACTTATCGACGAAAAGTACAATTTTTCCTAATTTTAATACTCCTTCTGTCTCATTTTATGTGTTTGGTTCGGTTAACGAAGCTTGATTGAAGTTATTTTTAATTTAATTTTTCATAATATTATGTTTACTATTAGGATACAAAATTTATATAAAATAGACCGATGGAGTATTAAATAATTTCAACTATTGATTGATTTAAAGTAACAGAATTTTTATTCAATAGAATTCATGCATATAATAAAATATTATTTACTTATATATGTACTTATATATGTAACGATTATCAAACTTTTTATTAAGTAAAATGTCTAAATTAGGAAAAACAAGAAAAGAATGTCTACATTATATAGTTGTATAATTTATTATACTCTGATCTCACATTAACTACAAATTAATGCCCTTCAATATTAGTGAATTAGATTGAAAACAAAGCTATCCAATCTCTCTCTTGTCGTTACTGCGATACAACAAACTCGACCTCAGCTTGCTTATGCAATTTAAGACCTTCATCCCTATTTTGCCATGTTTAAAGTGGAGTAGGAGATGAAGATCAAATCTGGTTTCAGAAATTTGTTGTTGTAATTCGGGAGTGGAAAGACATGTGGACGATGATTTTTCTATAGATAACTTTGGTCGAAGCTTTGACTTGGATACTTGAAATTAAAGTGGATGGAGGACTTCAAAATCAAAGCTTCTGATCCTTTAATTCCATGAAAAAGTGTACATTCTCAAAAACATGTACATCCATTCTTGTTATTTGAATTTTAAATTTGTGGTGATATATTCCTATTGGTTTTTCTTCACATTCTGAATGAGGTTTACAATTCCATTCCAGGGAATTTTGAATTAGTCTTTGGTGTAATTTTTCAAAATAAAGATTGCTGGCAGTAGGTTTAGTTGAAAAATTATTATAAAGATAAAAAGATTTATGGGAGAATGTGTGATTTGAAGTTCTGGAAGCCGCGGGAGTTACGATACGGGGAAATTAAGCCACATCCAAAAGAAAGAAAGAAAATCCATGTGTAATTTATAAGAAAGCCAAATCAACAGATTTACTGGATAATTGATTCTTACCTTCTGAAAATGCTAATTGAAGTTTTTGTGATAGTTGAAGGGGTTAATTGAAGCACTTTTTAATTAAGGGTGCTAATTGCATTTTTCACTCAGTTTCAGTATAGTACATTAGTACGACGGTATATTTGACCCTTATCCCAATTTTTTTATATGGCAAAAGTAAAAAAATTTATTTAAGTTTGAAATATATGTTATAAATATTATTGTGGACATTATTATCCATGTTGTAACACCCATGTTGTAACATTTATAACTGATGTACTTATGTTGGTCCCGAAAAGGTGGTGAGAAGTCTAGAGGGGGGATGAATAGACTTCTCTAACTTTTCAAAACTTTCTTCAAAACACACAATGCAAATAATACTTTGATAAATTTAACTCTAAGTAACAAGCATCAACAAGATAAACAACTTAGAGTCTGCAGCGGAATAGATAGCGGTTAAAGTGTTATGCTTAATAGTGTGGTGCTCAAAGAGATATTCTAAACATGCAACACGTTAGAAACACTTGATATGGTTCAAAGATGATGTACGTAAAGTTTGGCTTGCATGCAAACGTGGGAACTATTAAACCCAGACAGATAAAAATATGCGATAAATCGTAATCGGGTTAGTTCGTAGTTAGAATAAGTATGCACCAAATATATGAGCAGTATGTAAATAGAGAGAGAGATTTATAGTGGTTCAGATATGGTGTAATCCTCCTAGTCCACTCTTCTCCTTTCACTCCAAGGAGGAAATTCACTATTCTTCGATCACCCAGATACAATAGTGAATAGGTGTCCACCGACACTTCTCCGAGTGCTTCGCACAAAGCTACACTCCTCCAAGGTTTTTCGCAAGCTCCTCTTGTTACTCCGCCTTCCCGAGTACTTCGCACCAAGCTGTACTCCTACACCACGAGAACTACGCACAAAGCTACGTCCTCACAGGGTTTTCACAAGCTCCTCTTGTTACTCTGCCATTTACACCGAGTGCTACGCACAAAGCTACACTCAACTAGGGTTTTTCACTCTCTCTAGTTACTCCGCCCTCTTTCTACACTCAGTAGAGAAATCTACAAAGAGATAAAAATTTTCTCTCACTCAGACTTGAATTTAATCGTGTATAGCTCAATATATTGCTTCTTGGCTGATATGAATATTGCTTGCTTTTCTCTTGCTTGTATATCTCAATTTTTCAGTCGTGTTCAAGTCGTACTTGTCTTCAAGTCTGCTTGGACAATTTATAGCCAGTGAAAGCTATTTGCCCGTTGATCAACTTTCGATCTCGATCGTCCATTTTGAATTGTAGTTGATCAAATAATATTGTCAACTTGATCTGAAATATTAGGTAGATGTCATTTTTCCTTTTGTCAGATGATTTGAATAATTTGCCCGTTGCCGTGTCTTGAATTTTGTAGCCTCCAAAATTTGAATAAGTTCGGCGCGGCAAGCTTGATATTTCTTGTCTTTCATAAATGCTCTGACATGTCAAGTTGATCAAATTATTTATCTGCTGATTCTTGCTTGAGTATAAAATAATTTCTCCGCGAATTAGCCTTCTTCGAGCGTCCCCGGTTCCACCATAAAAACTTGATGTTCAGATGAAAATATATCAGATATTTTCTCCTTCATGATCCTTGTAAAATGATATACTGGAACCTCTGTAAAAACATCATAGTTGTTCATGGTGAGATGCTCTATTTCGATTTTAAGCTTGGTCCACCATACTTGGTGTGTTTCTCCATCTGGTGCATGGCTCTTGTGAGACTTGTGCATTCACTTTGGTTAGTCTCCAATTTACTTAGTCTCCCAAGCTAGCTAGTCTCCCTTTTGGTTAGCCTCCCAGCTAGTCTCCAAGCTAGTCTCCCATATGGTGGAGGTTAGTCACCCAAACAAGGTAAAAATGCTTCACTTGAGATTCAAATTTAGGATCATTTTGGCATAGCTCACACGCGTTTCTTCCAACTCCTCTAGCATGGTTCTTGGTGACTTATCCGCATCATAATTGTGTTAAGTTATAATCCCGCTTAACTTCTTCAAATAAATTATGATCTTCCAGTTTTGTACATGGGTTGCATGATATAGGTGCACCACTCTCCGTAGACTTAAACTGACTCAAATAGAATAAAAATGGAGACTACTTGATTTTTCAAAAATACATTCGGCTCATCAAAATTTACAATATATTCCTAACAACTTATTTCTATTTACTACATATTTACTCTTACCTTGTATATATATCTTGCCATAAGAATGACTAAGGATGAATGAGAACACATGCCTTCACTCTCTATCCTCTGTGTCTTCCTTCTTCTCCTTACTTGCATTTTCTTTATTTAACATGTTATCGACACTTTGCTCTACCGCCTTGGTGAACTGAGAGTTGTTTGGAATGTTTTTTTTTTTTTTTTTTTTTTTAAGATTTGGACGATTCTGATTTTGAATCTCGCAAGTGATTTATTGGAGGTGTATGGAGATCATATGATTTCCAATAAATAGAATTTCAGATTGATCGTCAATCATTGTCAATTCCTTGACCAGACCTTCGGATCACTGCCAGAAACATCATCGACGAAGCCCTAGATCGCGAGAGCGTTCAAGAGGTTGATCAGCGAATCGGCCACGATTGCCAGGCCTAGAGCATCGTCGGTGGGGCTGAGGGATTTTCAGCGGCCGATCTCGCGATCATTGAAGGCGGTGCATTGGCTCGCGATCACTTAAGGCGGTGCATTGGCGGTACAGTTTTCGTCGGCCAAAGGGAGATTCGTTTGCCCCTACCGGCGGCTACGCGGGCGCTGCAAGAAGGATTGCTTACCGCCGTTGTAACACCCCTAAATTTCGAGATATTTAAAACTTATAAAATAAAGGCAAATCCATTGACTGAATCCCAAACAGAGCATAGAGCTAACCATAAGTATCGGGGTGCTATGTCACACCTAGGTTTGAGAACCTAGGTGCACAAGCTAAGCTAACTAAGCATAATAAAACCTTAATTCAATATTCAAATACAGTCCCAAGGCGCGCAGGCCAACTACTGAGCTAAGGATAATTAAGTTAAGTCCAAGGCTCTGATTAGTGCGCTCCGAAGCTAATGCTCATCACTTGAAAAACATTCGGTATAACAACTGTAACACTCCCAAATTTCAACAACTTTTAAAACTTAATTTAAAGGGATTAACAGTCTAAACATCAACATAAGAAAAGTGGAAGCTAACTACACAAATCCGGGAGATGCTATGCCACACCTATATCAAACATAGGTGCACAGGCAGATACTACAACTACAACAGTCTAATAAATCAACTACTTAGGCTCACAGGCCTCAACAACTATTAAAGGAAGAGATAATCTATCTACAGGCCACTAGCGCGCTCTCCAAAGCTACCCAACCTGTAAAGTAACAAATAGAAATGGGACGACGCCCGGTCAGCGAATAATGCTAGTAACCCACCAATACCTGTTAAGTATCATACATAGATAGGATATATATACAAAATCATTTTCGAAATGGAATACATATATATAAGTTTAAAACCAAGAGCAGGAGTCAACATAAGACTCAAACACTCACAACGAAGATTAGGAAACACATCCCAGGACCACGAAGAACAACAAAGACTCACAAGGACGGCTCAAGGTATAATCTATCATCACACAATAGATTAACACCCGACATGCATAACTCAAAAGAATAGGGACACACCCAATGGCAACACATGCCTTTGTGACTACACACGTCACAAGAAGAGAACTCACAACAATGGCTACACAAGCCCTCGTGACATCACCCATCACGAGTTGATATGCCTTCCTTATGCCCGGTTCCAACCTTATGGCTACCCCCAACCTTATATCTAGTTCCAACCTTTACCTCCAGGACCCCTGTACAACCAAGTCCAACCTTTTCCCTCAAAGGACCGTCGTCCCCATCCGCCAACGACCGCCAACAAACCACCAATTTCATAGTACACGAGGGTACCGATCACACACACGACAACACATGCCTCCCAAGAAATACGTGAACCCGACACACAGGTCACAACTCCATAATCACGTCATGGCCACCACGAGGACCACTGCCGTACCTTGGTGATTAAGGCCCCATAAACTGAAATCATGCAATCCAGGTACAGCCACACACACATCACACCTCAACAAGAATCAATCAACGGATCACAACGAAGATATGAAACCATACTCAATCAAGGAATGGATCACAGTCCAACAACAACGATGAATAACACAAGTTATTATCAACAATAGCAAGGTACAAACCATACACACGCTAGCATTTAAACACCGAACTAGCATGCTCCACAAACGGGTAAACCAAACGTAGTTCCGAGGAACACACAAGACCCATCACGGTTCAACGAAACACAATGTTGAACACTTAGCACGATTCAAGACACCAAAACCTACATGGATTCCTACCATATAGTTCTAGACATACGAAACATCAAGAAGACACTCAAATAGTTCCACAAAAAAACATCGGGAAGTCAAAAGACCAAATACTGAGTCAAAAGAATCACGGGGAACAAATCCCCACACAACCATATACTGTACCCCGCGGGTGGACCCACGGGTAGGCCCCTACCCGTGGTTCCGCCCGCGGGTACATACCCACGAGGCTCTTGTACCCCGCGGGTGGGCGGCGGGTAGGCCACTGCCCGTCGTTCCGCCCGCGGGTACGTATACCTGCACCAAATAATCCCTTCGGGGATTTTCAACTCCAAGCTCAAATTCAAGTTCAAAACATGCCAAATCTCACCAAATACAACAAAATGACTTGAATCAAAGGAATAGCCAAGCAATGGCATACAAGAGCCCTAAACACAAGCTCTAGATATGCATTTTCACAAGACAATGCATAAACACTCACATTTCATAGCAAAATCACATGTAGAATCCAAGAAATCATCACATAGGTAAGCAAAATAGATTTTGTAGAGCATGGGTTACCTCATTCGCTTAACATCCAAAAACAGCGCCATCATAGGCTAAGCTCAACTCATAAGCCAAACGAAAACCTGTGAATTAAACCGGATCTCAACTATTAACACAAGTACTAATTAAAACTAATTAGTTATGGCTTATATGGGGATTTGAACTCCAATTCAACTCTAAATTACCCACAAGCTCAACCATCTAGACTAGGCATCCTATTGTTAACTTAATCACGCTATTAAAACACTAGTATGTAAACTACTAATCAAGCTCATCTAATAAATAAAACAAAGATAGGGTTCAAACCCTAACTAAACAACAAACCACACCCACATCATACCACTAAGCTAAAGACTCACTTATTAACCTTACTTAACAAAAATACTAATTAACCTAATCTAATAACAACAAGCAACACGAACAGAAGCTCACCCCATCTTCTTCGCACTGCCACCTTGGACCCTGCCGGCGTCAACCACCAGCCACCTTGCCGCCATTCTGCTTCGCCGGAGAGATACCCACCACCGTCAGAGCTGCCTCGCCGGAGAAACATCCACCACCGTGGCTTCGAGGTGGAGATACCGCGGTGGAACATGGGGAGCACCTCCACCCGCGTCACCGCCCGCTACATGCTCTGCTTCACTGGAGGACAAGCCACCGCCATAGGAACTGCTACGCCGGACCAGACCGATGTTCCGCCGCCGGAGTTGATAGAAGCCCTCCGTTGCAGCTGCTGCCAAGACCCGCCATCGCCACCGCTGTTCTGCTGGAAAGCTTCGTCGTAGATGGTTCATTGCCAGAGAAGGGATGAAGTCAACCTCCACCGCACAGCTCTGCCCACTCCGGAACACCGAAGGGAAGAAGGGAAGAGATGGAGTTGATGCCGATGGCGTCACAAGAAGGGAGAAGAAAGCCAATCGTGCCCTCATGGTTCCTTAGCCGAGAGAGAAGGAGGCGGACGGAATAAATCGAAGGGTAGGGTTCGTTTGGCTGAAAAGGTCATATTTTTATATATATCCATATCACAAAAATAGCTATTACTATTTAGGGTAGGCATTCTAACTTGAGTTGGGTCATATAAGACAAATGAGCTAGGCTAGGTAGAAAATACATCTCATTTTGGGCATGGAATAAACTTATGGGTTCAAGACCAACTTGCTTATAAATACTTATATACATATACTTTGGGCTTACAATAAATAGGTAGACTTTAGGTAGTTAAAAGCTCTTTTGGGCTTATGGCATTTGGGTAGCAAGATACATATTAATTTATTTATAAAAATAAATACACCAAAGCCCATTTCAGAATAATTAGTTATATAAATATTTTTAATAAAAATATTTATTATTGGGACTATAATTTATTTTAGGAAAATACGGGGTGTCACAACAACTGTCAGCGAATAATGCTGGTAACCTACTCCAACGCGTTAAGTACAATATAGGTAGATATGAGAAACTCATTTTGAAACTGGAATACATATATACTTACGAGACTCTAATTTAAATCCAAGATCAAGACTGGAGACACGTTAACAGACTCAACAGTATAAAATAATCATAAAGACTAACATGCTTCCTAAGAACACAATACAAGGTGTAACAGACCGCTAGGCATGTGAAATAGCAATTAGAGGCAACGAAGGTATTCAAGACAGTCAGTTAACAAGTAGTCAACAAAGAAAAGAGTTCATTCTCCAACCTTATACCAAGTTCAAACCTTGTAGCTCCCCCTCCGTCCTTATATCAGTTCCAACCTATACCTCCAGGCCACCCTTATATCACCACCCCTTATGCCTCCCGGCAACTACATGCCCCCAGCGACAAACCACCTATCAACCACCAACATATCAAGATGGTGTTGCAGTTCCATTCAATGATCCGCACCTCTAGTGCCATTATCAAGGGGTTAGCGCATATATCTCTAACATGACACCGCATCACTTATATTCAAGCAAGAGAGGTTGATATCGGTTTTAGTATGAACTTTGTGGGTATCTGGCCTTAGTAAAGACGAGCAAGATGCTACTGAATAAGAAAGAAAAGTGTTTGTGAAACACTCTCAGTTTTCATGAGAGAAAATGTAGAAGTTCAAGAGTGGAGACCAAAGAAGTGGTAAGAACGATAAGAATAAGAGAAGTAACAAAGAAACTTTGAGTTAGTGAATTCTAGCAGTTAGATTAAGTTTAGCGCCTTAGTTGCTTCGATGCTTGTTTGGAACTCGAACATTCCATTTCTTCTTAGTATTCCAAGAGAAACTTCTAAGCCCATTCTTGAGATTCTTACCATCTTTTCGAAAGCTTTCGATTTGAGAAAATCGAGCCATTCCTTCAAAGTTTCGAGACGAAACTTCTTTTAAGGAGGATAGAGTGTAACAACCCAAAACTTTATTTTATAAATCCAATTTTAAGAAATTCCAAAATAGTCATTTTCACTCCATTAAATTTTTTTGCGATCAATTGGTGTTTGAATAAATTATTTTAGTCACATTTTAAATTAAGTCAACACCAAAATTTATTTTATTTCAAAATCCAAAATTTTCAGGTATTTCGCGTACCAAGTTTCAAATTGAGAAAGCAATCTGAGTGAAACCGGGAGAATTCAAAGAGACTTTAAACAAGGGTTCATCTAGAAAACTTTTTGAGAAAATTCATTTTCAACCCCAAAGTATTTAAAATAGCATTTCTAGCCCATGGTCCATAAAGCATGGTACACCACAAACCATCCAAAACTTGTCTGATTCCATCTTCTAGCCTAACTATTTACCCTATTGCCATCCACCAATCATGAGCATTTCTCCTAGGGTTTTGGACCCTATATAACACCACTTTTGCTTTGTGTTTTTCCTGATCTCCTCCATCACCTCTCCACTCTTGACCTCTGTTGAAAGATAGAAGCAAACACAGTAAGTTTTAGCATTCATTTCCTCCATTCATTTTCCATCCTAAGGTTCCCTTTCCTCTTACATATCAACCTCTGAGTTTTTAGGCCTGGCTTGTGTTGTTGTTTGAGGTGTCTAGGTGGTGAATGGAGTGGTGTATGAGTAGAGAGGAAGCTGAGATTCAAGCAAGAAGAAGAAGCTACAAGAGGTATAACCCCATGGATTCATCTTTGATTTTGGCTCTGTGAAGCCTTGTTGTTGAGTAGAAATGAGTAGAAATTTTGAGATTTTGTTGTGTTTAGGCTTAGAAGTGATCTAGTATTTGTCTTTGAGTTGTTGAGAATGTTTTGGACTTGTTTGGATTGAAATTGCAGATGAAAATGCCATCTGGTGCACACACAGGGTGCACCAGATCAGACCAGCGGCCCTAGCCGCGGCCCATCAAGAGGGCCGCCGGCTAGAGCCGGGGTTACACGGGTCTAGGGCACGGCCCTAGAGGAGGGTCGCCGCCAAGACCCGATGGTCTAGCGGGGCACATGGGGCGGCTCTTGAGGAGTCCCGCCCCAGGTCCCTGAGTAGTGATCTGAGAAGATTTTGTGTAGTGGCTGGGCCCTTGTGGCTCAGCTACGTGTCGTTTCGGGCCAAGTTTTACGGGCCCTCGTGGCTCGGCTCTTCGGGATCGTCTCGATGCACGTTTTGGCTTTGATTTCGTTGAATTTGGATCAAAATGAGTAGGATATGAATGATTTATTGAAGAAATGCTACACAGTTCATATATTGTTAGTTCACTATGTATGAGAAATACTTGACTATGTGATCTGATGATATTTTTTTATTGAGTAGAGAAGAAGCTTTTGAGTTTGACAGTTACGAGAGTCTCACAGTACAGTGGTGACTCTTGGATTGAGACAAGCAGCATGAGTTATTGGAATTACCTGAGTTATCTATTGGGAAGAACTAGTGGGTTCACCCAGGCCACAAGGCCGGAGAGGAAGTGGCTTTCTGCCGAGCAAATGATTTTGGTAATGCTCGTTTCTGATTGTCTATTACCTAACAACAATAAGAGTCGTTTGTTGGGTAAGCTGGAGTGCACCTTTGCTTTCTGCCTGAAATACAAAGTGAAGTTCAACTTGCATTCGCTGATGTTGCAACATATGGTTTACTATAGAGATCATAACCGGAATGGTTTGCCCTATGGCATGGTTTTAAGTTGGATCTTTGTTAAGAAGGGGGTGAGTGTTGAAGGTTTTGTGCCCAAGCCAGTGGGCAAGATGGTTCTGGATGCCACAAATCTCCGAAGTTGCAATCTGTTTCAGCTGGATGATGTGACTACATCACTCTTGAAGAGGTCGAAAGGAAAGTCCCTGCCGAGAGGAGTTCGTTAGTGGAAGAGCTTGAGATTCCTGTTGGAAAGTTGAACCTAGCGGTGCAGAGCTTGGGTGGAGATGCTGAGAACGAAGGCGAAGAAGAGAGAGAAAAGGAAGAAGAGGGAGTAGAAGCAGAGGAGGTCGAAGAGAGTGACTCCGAAAGCGAAGAGAACATAAGGAGGAAGGAAGTGATGACCAAGAAAGAGCATGATGCAATGAAACACGAGGAACGTGTGGTGACCCTCCTTCGACAGCAGAATCGGATGATTGAGGAAGGCTTCTCTTTCATGATGGCTCAGTTTGTTACCGTCAATCAGAGGTTAGATAGGTTGGAGGTTGGTTCTAGTCGTGGTGGAGCTGAGGATGATCCGGACGAGGATGCTGAGGATTCGGAGGATGATTCCTCCTAGGCCGGAGTTTGGGGTAAGCTCGTTTCTTCTCTCGTTCGTTGGTTTGCCGTTTGGTAGTTGTTGTGCTAGTTGGCTGTACTTAGTTTTTTTCTCTTGTTTGCCTTGGTTGCTAGCTTGTTGTTTGAGTAGTTAGTACAGTTGTTTTGCTTTGTTAGAATCTAGTTGTTCTGAGTATAGGTTGGTGCAGAAGGTTTCTAGTTATCGGTAAGGTGGTGTTAGTGTTTGTGTTGCTTGAGAAATTTCTTTTGTGACTTGTGAGACCTTGCATCTCTTGATTCTTGAAAATCTTGCACCTTTTGGATCCTTGAGGTCTTGTTTAATGGCATTTTGCTTTCCTTTTGTCACATTGTTGATTCGTTGCTACCCGCTTGATTGAACTTGTCGTGCCCAAGCTTCGGGGAACGAAGCTTCTTGTTAGGGGGAGAGGATGTGATACCTTGTAAATCCAAACTCTAATCGGGGATTAATTGAAGAATTAATCCAAGTCTCTTTGCTAATCTATTCCTAAAAATTTTGAAATTTAATAGTCGAAGGACTAGATTTTGACTAGTCACTTAGTCAAAGGGTTGTACCTTGTGCTTCTTGAGTTGTGCCCTTGTTCCCTTGTCTTTCCAACATTAGTAAGGGTAGGAATGTCTTTCTACCTAAGGATTGTGATTCAAGCTAACCTAGCAAGACTCTTTCATTTCATTCACCCTTCAACCTAAAGCACAAAAACTCTAGCCTCTCTCTAAAATGAATTAGCTTATTCTCCAAGCAAGAAATTGAGCATCCAAGTCTTGCAAGACTTTCTCCCAAGATTCCTACTTTCTTCATCTTGAGCATAGGGAAGGGTGGGATCCTTAGCTTTTTGGTGTTTCTAACCTCCTTTTAGGTGTCCTTTTCTAAAGTTAGGATCATTGTTTTCTTTTGTTATGTGTAAGAAGTTGGTGTGGAAGAAGAGCTCTAGGAAAGGCTTTTAAGGGTGAAAAGAGTAAGTTGTTAGGCTACAAAGGTAACCCATGCTTTACAAAACCTATTTCTTACTTATATGATGATTCTTGGCTTATACTTGTGATTCTTGTGTTGATTTGTGAGATTTGATGCATTGTCTTGTGGTGATGCATGTTTAGAGCTTGTTCTTAGGGTTATTGAATGCCACTGCTTAGCTATTTCTTGAGTTCAAGTCATATTATTGTTGTGTGTGAGATTTTGGGTGTTTTGGACTTGAACTTGGCCTTGTTGTTGAAAATCCCCGAAGGGAAATGTTGGAGTACAGGTGGTACCTGCAGGCGGAACGGCGGGCAGAGACCTACCTGCCGCCCCACCCGCGGGGTACA